AGACTTTTTAACCCTCCACTGTCAATATTAGACAGATCAATGAGACAGAAATTTAAGAATATCCAGGACTTGAACTCAGATCTGGACCAAGCAAACCTAATAGACATTTAGAGAACTCTCCACCCCAAATCAACAGAATATACATTCTTTACAATACCACATTACACCTACTCTAAAATCGACCACATAATTGGAATAATATCACTCCTTGGCCAATGTAAATGAACAGATATCATAATAAACAGTCTCTCAGACCACACTACAATCAAATTAGAACTCGGGATTAATAAACTAATTCAGAACTCCACAACTTCATGGAAACTGAACAACAGGCTCTTAAATGTTGACAGAATAAACAATGAAATGAAGGCAGAAATAAAGATGTTCTTTGAAACCAACAAGAACAAATACACAGTGTACCAGAATCTCTGGGACACATTTAAAGCAGTGTCTAGAGGAAAATTTATAGCAAAAATGCCCACACGAGAAGGAAGAAAAGATCTAAAATCAACACCCTGTCATCAAAATTGAAACAGCTAGAGGAGCAAGATCCAAAAAAAAACTCAAAAGCTAGCAGACAACAAGAAATAACTAAGATCGGAGTAGAACTGAAGGAGATATAGACACGAAATACCCTTCAAAAAAAATCAATAAATCTGGAGCTGGTTTTTTGAAAAGATCAACAAAATACACAGGCCGCTAGCCAGATTAATAAAAAATAAAAGAGAGAAGAATCAAATAGATGCAATAAAAAAAGATAAAGAGGATATCACCACCAATTCCACAGAAATACAAACTACCATCACAGATTACAACAAACAAATTAATGCACACATAAACCAGTAAACCTGGAAGAACTGGAGAAATTCCTGGACACTTGCACCCTCCCAAGCCTAAGCCAGGAACAAGATGAAACCCTGAATAGACCAATAACAAAGGCTGAAGTTGAGGCAAAAATGAATAGCCTACCAACCAAAAAAAGCCCTGTGATGGGTTCACAGCCAAATTCTATCAGATATAGAAGTAGGAGCTGGTACCACTCCTTCTGAAACTATTCCAAACAATCCAAAAAGAGAAAATCCTTCCCAATCATTTTATGAGACCAACATCATCCTGATACCAAAACCCCGCAGAGACTCAACAAAAAAAGAAAACTTCAGGCCAATATCCACGATGAACATAGATGTAAAAGTCTTCAATAAAATACTGGCAAACCGACTGCAACAGTACATCAAAAAGCTTATCCATCACAATCATGTAGGCTTCATCCCAGGGATGCAAGGCTGGTTCAAAGTATTCAAGCCTTTAAATGTAATTCACAATATAAACAGAACCAAAGACAAAAACCACATGATTATCTCAATAGATGCAGTGAAGGCCTTCAACAAAATTCAACAGCCATTTATGCTAAAAATTCTCAATAAACTAGTTATCAATTAAACATATCTCAAATTAGTAAAAGCTATTTATGACAGAACAACAGCCAATATCATACTGATTGGGCAAAAACTGGAAACATTCCCTTTGAAATCTGGCACTAGACAAGGATGCTCTCTCTCTCACCACTCCTATTCAACATAGTATTGGAAGTTCTAGCCAGAGCAATCAGGCAAGAAAAAGAAATACAGAGTATTCAATTAGTAAAGGAGGATTGTCTCTATTTGTCTCTATTTGCAGACAACATGATTGTATATTAAGAAGAACCCATCATCTCAGCCCAGAATCTCCTTAAACTGATAAGCAAATTGAGCTAAGTCTCAGGACACAAAATCAGTGTGCAGAAATCACAAGCATTCTTATATGCCAATAACAGACTAAAAGAGAACCAAATCAAGAGCAAATTCCCATTCACACTCGCTGCAAAGAGAATAAAATACCTAGGAATACTATTAACAAAGGATGTAAAGGACCTCTTCAAGGAGAATTACAAACCACTGCTCAAGGAAATAAGACAGGACATAAACAGATGGAAAAACATTCCATGCTCACGGTTAGGAACAATCAATATTGTGAAAATGGCCATACTGCTCAAAGTAATTTACAGATTCAACACTATCCCCATCAAGCTACATATGACCCTCTTCACAGAACTGGAAAAAAACACCTTAAACTTTGTATGAAACCAAGAGAGCCCACATAGCGAAGACAATCCTAAGCAAAATGAACAAAGCTGGAGGCATCATGCTCCCTGACTTCAAACTATACTACAAGGCCACAGTAATCAAAACAGCATGGTACTGGTACCAAAACAGAAATATAGACCAACGGAACAGAATACAGACCTCAGAGGCAATGCCACACATCTACAACCATCTGATCTTTGACAAACCTGACAAAAACAAGAAATGGGGAAAGGATTCCCTGTTTAATAAACTGTGTTGGCAAAACTGGCTAGCCATGTGCAGAAAGGAGAAACTGGACCCCTTCCTGACACCTTACACTAAAATTAACTCCAGATGGATTAAGTCCAGATGGACTTAAACATAAGACCTAACACTAAAAAACTCTAGAAGAAAACCTAGGCAAAACCATTCAGGACATATGCATAGGCAAGGCCTTCATGACTAAAACACCAAAAGCAATGGCAACAAAAGCCAAAATAGACAAATGGGATCCAATTAAACTCCAGAACTTCTGTTTAAACAATCATTGGAGTGAACTGGCAACCAGCAGAATGGGAAAAACATTTTTGCAATCTACCCATCTGACAAAGGGCTAACATCCAGAATCTACAAAGAACTAAAACAGATGTAAAAGAAAAAAACAAACAAACCCATTCAAAAGTGGGCAAATGAAATGAACAGACACTTTTCAAAGAAGACATATATGAGGCCAACAAACATATGAAAAAATGCTCATCATCACTGGTCATTAGAGAAATGCAAATCAAAACTACATTGAGATACCATCTCACACCAGATAGAATGGTGATCATTAAAAAATCAAGACAACAGATGCTGGAGAGGATGTGGAGAAATAGGAACACTTTTACACTGTTGGTGGGAGTGTAAATTAGTTCAACCATTGTGGAAGACAGTGTGGCAATTCCTCAAGGACCTAGAAACAGAAATTCCATTTGACCCAGCAATCCCATTACTCGGTATATATACAAAGGATTATAAATCATTATATTATAAAGGCACATGCACATGTATGTTCACTGCAGCACTGTTTTCAATAGCAAAGACCTGGAACCAACCCAAATGCCCACTGATGACAGAGTGGACAAGAAAAATGTGGCACATATATACCATGGAAGACTATGCAGCTATAAGAAACGATGAGTTTGTGTCCTCTGTAGGGACATGGATGAACCTGGAAACCATCATTCTCAGCAAACTGACAAGAACAGAAAATCAAACACTGCATGTTCTCACTCATAGGCGGGTGTTGAACAATGAGAACATGTGGACACAAGGAGGGGAGCATCACACACCAGGGTCTGTTGGTTGGGAGTAGGGTAGGGACAGCGGGGGATAGGGAGGTTGGAGAGGGATAACATGGGGAGAAATGCCAGATATAGGTGATGGGGGATGGAGGCAGCAAACCACATTGCCATGTATATAACTATGCAACAAGTCTGCATGATCTGCACATGTACCCCATAATCTAAAGTACAATAAAAATACATATTTTTTTAAAAAAGAATCTGAGAGCGGTAAGGAGGGGTGAGGAATGGGGTTAAGAATTAAGGTAGAGAGAGTTAGTGTAGGAAGAACACTTATCATGGCAAAAGGGAATAAAAGACACACAAGGGATATGCTCTTTAAGCTGGACCTTTGAAAGTAAGTCACTGTTCATTAAGTTACCATAGAAGCCAGGAAGGCAGAAAAAGGAAGCCCATTCTCATAGGAATAGTGGAGAAAAATCACAAAGCCTAGAGTGGGGTGTCCATGGTTGGAAATATCTGGAGGAGGGCAAGCTGGGTCTTGAATATGAGATGTCTGGGGCTTTACTTTACAGGTGATGGAGAGCTACTGAAGGGTTTGTACAGGATTTGATAGTTGTGTGTTTCAGAAAAACCTACCTAATTTAAAATGTTCAAAATAAACTAGCACTGGGGATAGGCTGGATGCTGAGAGCTATTAAAAGATTATTTCAAGATGTAGGGTAAATGCACCTGACAGCAATAACTTAAGCATACCCTTAGAATGACCCTATGTGGCAGATGCCCCTGAATGTGTGTTCCAAGCTAGAGAATCCAGAAGTGGCCTACCTGGAGATTCATTCCTTGTGTATGAGGATCTTCTGGTGGAACACAGGCTGTTGAGGAGATTGAAGCCTAAGCTTTGAGTTAAATGAAGGTTGCCAGGTGGAAGTCATTAAGGAGAGGGTGGTAAGTAAAAGCTATATAAACTGCATGCTGTCTGCCAGTGGCTGTGGTTTTCCAGCCCAGCCCACCACTCCTGGACTCTCTTTCTTGTATGTAAGCCCTTAATAAAACCCCATGTCTCATTTGCTGGCTCTGGGTCTGTTCTTCAGCCTTTCAAACTGGTTGCCTTCCCTGCTGATGTTCATAAGGATTCAGCACAACACAAGAGCTCAGGAGAAATCAGAAGGAGAAAATGATGAGACATTTCAGAGGTCAGCTGACCAATTTTCGTGGCTAGTTGAACAAAGAGAAGGAGAGCAAAGCCAAAGGTGACTCTGAAGCTCTGAGGTTTCTAAAAGACAGGAAAGGATGTTATTAACTGGAAAAATAGACCCAGGGAGAGTCTGGAAGCCTTGGAAACTTCCAGATTGTCTCTTACCACTTCTTACTGAAACAGTATCATAAAATTGTGTGGAATGAACATAAAACTTTGTGATTAAAAAAAACATAAAACATAAAAATTTTGTGTATTCGGCCAGGTGCAGTGGCCCACACCTGTACTCCCAGCACTTCCGGAGGCCGAGACAGGCAGATCACGAAGTCAGGAGTTTGAGACCAGCCTGGCCAATATAGTGAAACCCCATCTCTACCAAAAATACAAAAATTAGCCAGGCATGGTGGTATGTACCTGTAGTCCCAATCCCAGTTACTCAGGAGGCTGAGGCAGAAGAATCACTTGAACCCAGGAGGCAGACATTGCAGTGAGCAGAGATCATGACACTGCACTCCAGCTTGGGCAACAGAGACTCCATCTAAAAAAAAAAAAAAAAGCCACTTTGTATAGTCATTAATCTAAGGTAAATAAAATAAACTTTTTCTTCAGATTTCCAGCCCTGAAAACACACACATTTCAACTACTTCCCTGGAAAGCATCTATATTTAACCAAATTGTAGTACTGATAATTATTGTGACTCTGAAAGACAATTCCCAAATAGGAGAAACCCCAAATATTTCTTTTTGTAAATTAGTAAAGGTCTATATTAGTAAAGGTATCAACAGGCCAAAAATGCCACTGATTATAATAATTCAGGATTTATATTTCAACACAAAGGGATGCAATATAACCCTAAGCTAGATTTATGCCTGGATGTGGGTGGGTATTCATTCAGTCAATGGGAGGACACAAGAGGAGATTCAAAGGTAATGGTTATTCCTACCCTCAAAAATCCTCCACTCTTATTTACCATGAGTTTGAACAAAATACAGTCTGTACATGGGTGTGTGTTCAGTACTACTTGTAAAAAGTACAGCAAGGGCTTTTTAAGACCAGTCATTAATAATATAGACTCGATCCTTAAACTTTTCCATTTTACAAATTATCTTTAGGCCATCTCTTCTATGCAATTGTTATCTTATGAGTCCAAATAACACCCTCTCTGCTGGGTTCCAGATCATCTTCAGGTGGGTACAATGCCTCTCTGCTCACAGTCATCACAACCAAAACGAGTCAAATATTTTGCTACCCCAAATCTGCTGTTACCTTCTTTTTCATTTTCTATCTTGGTTAATGGAATAGCTGTATACTTAGGCTCACTAAGTCTCAAAGTTGAGAGTTATCCAGGATGACTCATCCTAAAGACCTGGATCAGCCTCCATATCCATTTTTTTAGCTAAGTCTGCCATCTCCCCTTCAATCCACATTGCCACTGCCTTGTTTTAGGATCCCATTGTTCTTGTGTGAACAACTGCAATATCCTTCTAATTTTCCCCCTTCCTCCAGTGTCTATTTTCCATAGAGTGATTCTTCTAAAGCATAAATTTCTAAAGCACCACCATATTCACTGGCTAACTATGTGTCAAGAGCTTCTTTATGCCTTCAGGATAAATTCAAATACCTTATGTGGTAAGAAAAATAATGGCCTTCAAAAGATGTGTATGTCCTGGTCCCCAGTACTAGTAACACCCATAGGCTGAAGAATACAGGCTCTAGAAGCCAGGCTCTAGAAGCTGAAAAAGACAAGGAACAGATTCTCCCCTGGAGCTTCCAAAAGGAATACGATTTTGGCAACCCTTAATCTTAGCTCCATAAGACCTATTTCAGACATGTGACCTCCTGAGCTGTAAAATAATAAATTTGTATTGTTTTAAGCTACCAAGTCTATGATAATTTGTTACAAAGGCAAAAGAAAACTAAAACTCCTTTGTACGGCATACAGAGCCATTGCATGGGACTATATGGGCCGTACCTACCGGTGAAGCCATACCTTCCAAGATGCCAAACCATGTATTAATTTCCTCATGTTTATATGGCCGTCCATACAGGGCTTTCTATCTTCTCTACTCATCTATCAAGATTCTACTAAATCATGATCTCTTTTATGAAAGCTTCCTGGTCTTTGAGATAGAGTCACATGTCCCATGCTCTGTGTCCTCAATTCTTCTATGCCTAAGTCTTCTTTGTACTTAGCATAATCTACCAGGTAAGCTGTTTTATCTGCATCCTCCAGTAGACCATGAGCTGTCTGAAAGCAGACACTCTATGTTAATTCATCTCTGCACCCCAGCAGCTAACACAACGCACAACCCATAAAGCCAAATTGAATTCAATTAATATTAAGAAGAAAAATAGGACAGTAGACCAAAGGGAAGAAAGGTTAAAAAAAAAAAGTGGGTTTCAGGATGATGAGAAACCTTAATTTATTGTACATAAATGGCAAAAGAGCCAAGGAAGGAAGAGGGAATAAATATGCAAATGATAAAAGAAAGAGAAATTTATTTTACTACTCTGAAAGTAGTCCAAATAAATGAGATCATCGGCAATGGAGGGACTATCCTTGAAAAGGAAGAAAGATTTTTTCTTTTAAGTAAGAAAAAAAGCAAAGATTTAATACACATATTAATTTTATTGAAAGTTAATAACAGATGAGAAAAGGAAAAATCTATCTTTTCATAGGGTTAAGGACTTGATTTTATTTTAAGGCATTACATTTATGTAGTTTCCCTATATTATCTTTCTCCAAAATCTTGCAGCATAATTTTCCTAATAGATCAAATAACTACTAGCTCTTAGGACATTTTTAGGGTAGCAGATTCTTCTCCAAGTCACAAAGACATCTGAGTATTCCTAGGTGCTTCCTACCACAAAAGACAACTACCAGTTCAAATTCTGCTAACATAGCCCCTAACAAAGCTCTCCCAGGCTGAAGTCAAAACAGTTTCTGTCCCTTGATCTCTAGGCCACAGCACTTCAACTATATTCTCTTAAATGTATTTTTCACAAATAAAACACACTGACGTCGACTAAAATATTCCATCCCTACTGAAGTCAGCGCTGACGAGATGATATCAAAATGCTGCACAAATAAATATCAAGAAGCCAACATAGCCACCTGCCTCCCAGGAAAATGACACAAAGGCATCACTGATGCTGCACTCACCAGGCCATTTTTGGAGTCAAAAAATAACTTCTCATATTAACAGAATGTGAAGCCAAAATAGTCTTACAGAAATGTGTGCACCCCGTGAGCAACACAGCTCTTCTGGCAAGAAACATACTACAAAAGCTCAAGCAGAAGAATTTCTGGCACCAATATTCCAAAGGCAGCTGTTCTCTGTTACAAATGACCTACTGCTGCAGCACTCCTGTAGCTGGAACTGCTGCTGAGTCAGCAGCTTTGGGTGTTTTTGGTTGGTTTTTCTCCCCATCACTTTGTCTAACAGTATTTAGGAAAAGGTTCTTTCTTAGCCACAGGGGTCAGGCTATGAAAACCAATTAAAAAACATGGTCAGGCCACAGGCACTGGACTAAGATGCCCAGATTCTCAATCAGAGCTTCCATTTCCCATATAGAACGGGTCTAAGCGTATGGTCTTGTCCCTGTAAGGAGAAACTCATTATCATATCATCTTTTTGCCTAGTTTTCAGTGTCCTGTATAGCTGGCTCCCACCATATTTGACATTTCCATTTGTAAACCTCCATTTCAAACAGGTATTATACCATTTCTATGACTTTTTTAAAAATATCATCTCACCTAATTCAAAACAAACCCAAAAAGACCACATCTCATTATCACATTCATATATTTGATTAATATTCTTTAAGCTGCTTCCATATGAAGGCACTGAGCCTTCCCACAAAGGAAATCAAAGGCATGAGAAAGTAAACACCACTGCTCACTGGATGTCATTCATCCAATCAGTAACAATTTTTTTCCTAAGTGGCTACTCTGTTTCCAGCACCACAGGGTTGCAAAGGATTTATAAGACATGGGTCTTACTCCCACAGACTTTACATAGCAGTTCAAAAGCCAAAACACATACAAATCAAATAACTAGAGAAAAGCATAAGAGACAAAGGAAAGACCTTCTTCTAAGGCAGATAAGACTTAATAAAAAGGAGTACTTTAATGTGGGCTAAATCAGACAAAATTGAGGACATTCAGAAAAGTTATCATTTGAACTGAGTGTACTTTCTAGTGGAGTCAGGTTCGGGATCACATCACTGGAAAAGGAAACACTTGAGCTGGGTGCTGAGTTGAGAATTCACACGGAATTTTGAAGACTACCCAGAATATTCCCAATTTGATCAAAGAAACTGCTGAAAATACTCCCTTCATGCTAACAAAGTATAGAAAATATCCTAGGTGGAGGTTGGGGGTAGAGTACAAAGGGAGTTTATACTCCTGGAGCAATATTACTTTCCCTTAAAGGGAGGAAACACTAAGACTATGAACTCTCACCTCATTCTATTATTTAAAAAAAAAAAAAAAAAAGAAGTGTTTTAGACTTATTCTCTCCCTTATGAAAAAAAAAATGCTCTTTACATAGGTATTTACAAATTACACTGTATGTGGAAATGACAGTACTAATAAGACACTATGGCTCGTGTTGAGTTGGACCAAAAAAAGACACCAGAGAGCAACAGAGACACAAAATTTCATGCCTCAGATTGTTCAAGGCTCATTTTTATGATTTCACAAAACATAGCCTGGGAATATTACATAACATTCATAATTCACAAAATAAAAGCATTTCTGTCAAAGGCTAGATGTCAAACAGCAATACCACTGATACATTTTCAGTCATGTGTACTGAATTTGTATTTCCAACACTAAGAAATAGTTTGGAAATAAACAAATCAAGCATTGACATCAACAACAAAGAATAAGAGAAAGCATGACATAATATTAAAATCGTGTCTTATCAGCTAAAAGAGGTTTCAGTATCAAGTCATAACACTTTACTAACTCAGTGGGAATGACAGTGGGAGAGAGAACTTCGAATATAAAGTTAACGGTTCTAACATTTTATCAAAACAAGAACAACTCTTCTCCTTGGAGATGTTTTTTTCTTCCTTTCAGATCATTTTAGGGACCTTTTACTAATCTTCTAAGTTGATCTTTAGTAACCTGGAAATACTAAAGGAGCAGTTCTCACAGAAAATATCATATAAGAGCAAAAACAATCTGCATTCTGGCAGCGAGCTGCTGGAAAACCCAAATTATCTTATTCAAGAGTTAGATGCAAAATACTAAAAACAAATCTGCAAAAAAAAGAGATTGGCATTTTTCTTTGTTGAATAAAAAGGGGGCTTGGCAAGACTTGCTACGTTTTTAAGAGAAAAAATAATTGCACTCTTTAGGTAAAAGTATTTTATATATAGGAGATGCTCAGAAAACAGTGAGCAATTAATTATTTTAACTTAACTGTGAAAATTTCAAATAAAAAAATCAGATCGGCCTTGACTATACAATAAAAACAAGTCTTTTTAATTTTTTTCTAGCTTTATTGAGGTACGACTAACAAATCACAATTGTGGATGTACAACATGGTGTTTTGATATATGTATGCATTGTGAGATGATGAACATAAGCTAATTAGCCTCGCCCTCACTTCACATCGGTACCTTTTTTATTGTATAATAAGAGGGAATTGTACCTGTCATCATACTTTTCCTCATCACCACTCATCTGCTTTTAACCAGGCCTACCAGGCAATCATCTTCCACTCAGCAAACAGGAACTCCTTATTATACAATTACTTCCTATTGTTTTTCTGATATAAACAAACACAAAATTTCAACCACAAAACGGTAGCATTTGGCCTAGATTATTTTTCCCGTTCTTTCACTTGGCAGAAATCTATGAAAAGCAGATGGAGAAATAGTGGTGACTCAAAACAAAAAACAACACACTTACAGTCTTTTTATAAAAATCGGAACAGTCCTGCATGCAAATATTTAATCTGTCTTGGTAGACACAATGAATATTCAACAGGCAGAGTCAAGAAAAAGACAAATTTGATATAGAGGACTATCAAGTGGTATCCGTTACCAAACAAGCTATACTTTGAATACCCGAAATTTGCCTGGTCTCTAAGTAACACATTTTTGAAAAATAAAAAATAAAACTCACAGAGTGTTTTCAGATCACACTCACACTTACATTCCTCCTTGATGGATCTAAAAGGTGAAAACAGGGCTGCAATAGTTCACAGAATTTCTCAATCTTTCTAGAAAGAGCAATAAATATCTACTAAACTTTGATTTTTTTTCTAATGAAGTACTATTAACACTGAGGCCCTCCTACAAAATTAAATCTTCTTAAAAGTTGTTGAAAATAATTATAATCTCTTGCAATGTTTACCAAAGGCTCATGTCAACTCCCAAAATTTAAAATATAGCATTTTTTTTTTTTTTTTGAGATGAAGTGTCACTCTGTCACTCAGGCTGAAGCGCATTGGCACAATCTCTGCTCATTGCAACCTACGCCTCCTGGGTTGAAGCAATTTGCCTGCCTCAGCTTCCAGAGTAGCTGGGATTACAGGCACCAACCATAATGCCTAGCTAATTTTTGTATTTTTAGTAGAGATGGAGTTTCACACATCTTGGTCAAGCTAGTCTTGAACTCCTGACCTCAGCTGATCCACTTGCCTCGGCCTCCCAAAGTGCTGGGATTACAAGCATGAGCCACCGCGCCCGGCCTAAACTACAGCATTTTAAAATTTTTATCAAGAACTTAGGTCACCATTACCACTATTATTATTTAAATTAAGCAAAGATATTTTAAAAACCCAGGAAGGATGCGAAAAAAAGTTTGCATAAAATAAAGTAATATTTGGGAAAGGTCTATATTAATTAAACATGCTAGCCATGGTAGCAAAATAAATATTTTAAAAAGTTAAGCATAGCTTTTTATTTCAGTGTAACTTCTGGACTTCTTGCTGATTGAATATAATATTTCTTTGTTAGCAGGAGATGCACTATAAAGGGCATGGTTTTAGAAGACAGCATTGGAGCCTAAAACCAATTTACTTCATGCTACTGAGAAACTTCTTACTATTTCATAATAAGTACATCTTCTTCGACTTTTTTAATCGTTTTTTTAATATGTGGAACCCATAGGCGCGCATGCGCGCACACACACAGATTTTATGCATACAGTCATGAACTGCAAAGTGACTGAGGTTTTAACCTCTTGCAAGCTAACAAGGGAGCCTGCCGTAGTTAATGGATGCTGGCAGAAGAGATTCGCCTCCAAGGTGAGAGACAAAAAACTTTATTACTCACAGCAACAAGCATAAGCTTCACATTTATACTGGTTCCCCTTGCCCTCAAAGCCCAAGGGGGTAGTCTCAAGTAGCCCAGGTGGATGCTGAGCACACAGTGGGTTTGCATCACAGCCATGGAACACAGGAACACCAGGCTAAAGGAAACTCCATCTTTTACAATGGGCAGCAAACAAATCCACCAACCTTCACCCCCAAAGGAAATATGCTTTTTATTACACTAGCAGTAAATAAACCTACCCTTGGTCCAGAGAAGGCCAGACTCTATATCTGTCTTGCAAGGCTGTTTACAAACATCCTTGAAGGATCATCTGCAACAAAAAGTTGTCAGTGCTTCTACTCACAGGAGTACAGAGAAATACAACAGACCCTTGAAGAGCTGTTTCCCAATACACTGATATTACCTGTAACCTATATATATATTGTTTGTAACCTATAAATCACAGTTTTGTTGGAAAACCTCCTATCTCTTTAAATATTCTCTTTCACTAGAGCTCCAAGGCCCTATCTCTCTCTACTGTGAAAACGTCTTTGTTCTCCCAGGGCCTGGCCTTCCTTAATAATTCTGAGAACCCTAGAGGCCTGGTCAAGGCAAAAGCCAATTCCGATTGCTCTCACATCCTTCCTGGATGTGAAACTCAGATTCACTGTATTCATCCTGGATGATTCTGTGAAAGGTGCTGTAGATTACCTTGTGTATAGTTTTCTATTACTGCCACAACAAATCACTTCAAATTTATCAGCTTAAACCCATATTCACTTATCATCTTACACTTTCTATGGGTCAGATGTCTGGGCAGCAAATAGCTCAGCTGGATCCCCTGGGTCTCAGAAGGCCAAAATCAAGGTGTCAGCAGGGCTGAGTTCCTTATTGGATGCCCTGGAAAATAATCCACTTCCAAGCTCATTCAGGATGTTGGCAGAACTCCACATGGTCCTTCCATCTTCAAGTTAGCAATGGTATGTCAAGTCCTTCTGACACATAAAATTTCTGACTTCCTCTTCTTTTCTGCTCTCTGTTCTCAAGAGTTTATATAATTCCATTGGACCCATTCAAATAATCCAGGAGAATCTCCCCATCAATAAATTAGCAAACTTAACTATATCTGTAAAGTTCCTTTTGCCATGTGAGGTAACATACTCATAGTCCTGGAGATTAGGGTATGGGATCTTCTTGAGGGACATAAAGATATCTACCACACCCTGCAATCAAAAGTGTGGTCCTCAGACCATCTGTATTCACATCACCTGGGAATTTGTTAGAAATCTGGAATTTCAGAATTCACCTCATATCCAAAGAATTAAAATCTGTATTTTAAAAAGCACTCCAGATGATTCATAACCAAATTAACATCTAGCAAGTACTGCCTATCTATAGATATGAATCATCTGATGAAGTTGTTGCCACTGAACAAGTTAGAGGCAGTCAAAATGTTGATAGAAAAGATCCCTCCATTTATCCCTGCCAGTGCCAATGTACCAGCATCTCTACTTGACAACACCTAGAGAGCTGGAGGTTAGTTGGGGCTAAGATATTTGCTTTGATCATTGCCACCTGCTGCTGGTCCAGATCTTGCCCAGGTAGCATGGGTTCCTCAGGCTGCAGAAGGAGGCCATTTTTTCCCTGATTGTTATAATCTTTAATTTCAAACACAGACAGCCAGTTTCCTCAGATTGTGTTCACAGCAAGGTGGATTGGTAAGAAAAAAGCTTCACATTCTTATTCTCATCTGATACCTGAAACCATTCCTCCTCAACAGCCAATGACCTGCTAGCAATCCCAGATACTACTTCAGAGCCGCCTTGCTATATAATGAGTTTTTTGTTTTTAGGAGCTGGTACTTTCTTGCAGCTGAACTTCACTGGGGCTACTTACATCCATCAAAGATGTTTTAGTCATTTGAATATCAAAAAGAGTATCCTCAGTCCCTGTCATGGTTAATTTTGGTGTCAACTTGAATTAATACCGAGATAAGTAGTAAACTATTATTTATTCTCAATCATTGTATTGATTATTCGCAATGCTTAAACAGGCACTGGGCCCACCCCTCTTCTGCTGAAATGGAAATTTAGGTGGTCTGGCATTTGAATTAGCATGATTGGGCTGCCCCAGGAATTTCTAAGAGTGTGTTTCCAGAGAAGACTGGCATGTCAGTCAGTGAACTGAGTGGGGAAATTTTACCCTCAATGTGGACAGGTATCATTCAACAGGCTGAGGCCCAAGCGTAACAAAAAGGCAGAGGGGGAACATATTCTTGTTCTGCCTTTAACTGAGCCCAGACACTCCTAGTTTTCTGCCCTTAAATGTCAGAACTCTGAGCTTTCTGGCATTTTTGGACTACAGGCCTCACACTAGCAGTTCCTAGGCTCTTGGGCTTTCAGTTTTAGACTGAGTTACACCATCAGCTTCATTGGTTCTAAAGCCTTTAGACCTGCAGACCACCTATCATAAAACTTCT